GAGCGAGGCGCTGGACAGAGCGCAGCGCGGAGTTCGCGCGACGCGCGCTGCTCGCCCCGAGAGGGCCCCAGCGACGCGCGCAGGGCGTCCGCGGCGCGAGGCCAAACAGTTGGACAGCCGAGAGAAGGCGCGGCTGTGGCGGGCCGCTCCTCAAGTCAGGCCTCGCGGATCAACTCGGGGCCACGAAACGTGTGAGTGGTGTGCCGAAATGGGTGTGCGGGACGCATGCGGGCACACCCACTGGGACCTTCGGTGAAGCTCCCTATGGGGCCACGAAGCGTGTGAAGGGTGTGCCGAAATGGGTGTGCGGGACGCATGCGGGCACACCCACTGGGACCTTCGGTGGAGCTCCCTATGGGGCCACGAAGCGTGTGAGGGGTGTTGGTCGAAATGAGTGTGCGGGACGCATGCGGGCACACCCCACTGGACCTTCGGAGCTCCCTATGGGGCCACGAAACGTGTGAGGGGTGTGCCGAATTGGGTGTGCGGGACCCATGCGGGCGGCAGCACTGGGGCCTTCGGTGGGGCTCCCTATGGGGCCACGAAACGTGTGAGGGGTGTGCCGAATTGGGTGTGCGGGACGCATGCGGGCGGCAGCACTGGGGCCTTCGGTGGGGCTCTCTATGGGGCCACGAAACGTGTGAGGGGTGTGCCGAAGTGGGTGTGCGGGACGCATGCGGACGGCAGCCATGGGGCCTTCGGTGGAGCTCCCTATGGGGCCACGAAACGTGTGAGGGGTGTGCCGAAATGGGTGTGCGGGACGCATGCGGACGGCAGCACTGGGGCCTTCGGTGGAGCTCCCCTATGGGGCCACGAAACGTGTGAGGGGTGTGCCGAAATGGGTGTGCGGGACGCATGCGGACGGCAGCCATGGGGCCTTCGGTGGAGCTCCCTATGGGGCCACGAAACGTGTGAGGGATAGTAACCAACCCCAAGTTGAGCGGGACGACATGCGGGCACACCCACCTGGGACCTTCGGCGGAGCTCCCATGGGCCCACGAACATGTGAGGGGCGTGCCGACATGTGTGCGGGAAACGGCCCACACGGACCGAAACGGGTTGGATCCACCCTATGGGGCCACGAAACGTGTTGAGTGGGTGTGCCGAAATGGGTGTGCGTGACCGCATGCGGGCACACCCACTGGGACCTTCGGTGGAGCTCCCTATGGGGCCACGAAGCGTGTGAGGGGTGTGCCGAAATGGGTGTGCGGGGCGCATGCGGGCACACCCACTGGGACCTTCGGCGGAGCTCCCTATGGGGCCACGAAGCGTGTACAGACTGTGCCGACATGGGTGTGCGGGACGCATGATGATGACGATGATGGTGATGATGATGGTCGTGAGGATTATGACGATGATGGTGATGACGGTGATGAGGACGACGATGATGATGACGATGACGATGACGATGGTGGGAGGAGGGAGGAGGGGGAGGAGGCAGCGGGAGGAGGAAGGAGGAGACGTGGGGCGCTGTCTCTTCAAAACGAGGACCCAACACCACAGGATGGTTCGGAAAAATACTCAAAACATAGTCCCCAGACTATTATTGGATTATTTTCTAGCTATTTTTTGGGGTATTATTGTTATTTTTTGTCAGTCGAAAATCCCCTCCACTTCAGCCTCGGGGGGGGCGCGCTGCGCCCGAGATCCGCGGCGGACGTCGCTCCCGCTTGCCAGGTGCCTGCGCTCCGCGCGCCCGCGCCCTCGGGGCCACTAATGAGGGCCACCAGGCACCGAGAGGAGGAGAAGGGGGAGGACGAGGAGGAGGAGGAGGAGGAGGAGGAGGAGGAGGAGGAGGAGGAGGAGGAGGGAGAGGGGGAGGAGGCAAGCTAGGTGCGCTCGCGTCATATCTGACGTCCTACCCCTCCCTCCCATCCCTTACCATGGCGCTGATTTTCTCTATCCGCGGACGCGTGTCGTAGCGGACCTGTGGCTCCGCGCGCGCGTGCGTAGTGGGTGGTGGTGCGCGTGCGTGCGTGCGTGCGTGTGTGCGTGGTTGTCGTGGTGGTGGTGGTGGTGGTGGTGGTGGTGGTGGTGGTGGTGGTGGTGGTGGTGGTGGTGGTGGTGGTGGTGGTGGTGGTGGTGGTGGTGGTGGTGGTGGTGGTGGTGGTGGTGGTGGTGGTGGTTGTGGTGGTGGTGGTGGTGGTGGTGGTGGTGGTGGTGGTGGTGGTGGTGGTGGTGGTGGTGGTGGTGGTGGTGGTGGTGGTGGTGGTGGCGGTGCGGCGCGGTGGTGGCGGGCGGATGGGCGCGCGAGAAAAAGGCCCGCGCTGGGGCGAGAACGCCATCCTGAACGACGGAGGCCAAACACCGATCCGAAAATGAGGCCCACGCTGCAGCGGGAGCACGATTCGGAACGATTCGGGAGCAGAAATGAGGCCGGCGCCTCAACGAGAGCAGCATTTTGGGAAAAAATGACGCCGGCGCCTCAGCGAGAGTCGTTTCCCGGGATTTCCCGGGAATCCTGTGTGTAAAAAAACAGTACGCGGAGGGTGCGCGGCCATCACCCGGACGCCATCAGGGGAAGAGGGAGAGTATTTTCATATTGAGCAATTGTAGAAGGAGGGAGAGCGGGGGGAGGAGCAGGAGGAGGTGAAGAGCCCGGTCGGAGATGAAGAGTTGGCCACCTGGGGGGGCCGCGAGGTCACGGCCAGGGGCCCGGCCCGTGTTGAAACAGGAGCCAGAGATAGATTACATCAGAGAAAGAGCAAAGGACGTCGGATCCCCTCGAGCTGCGGACAAAAATCACGACGGGAATTTTTGTTCCCCATTTTCGGCCTCTGGGGGGCCTCGCCGGGCCCTTGGACCGTCAAAAAACGACTCACGATGAGGAATTGGTCCCGGAGAAAGGTGCTCCTTCCCCGGGCCCTCAAGGAAGACGAAGCCAGGACGAGGATCAAATCGGGCGAAGAGAGATCGAGAATCTCTGAGATCCGGCGGTGTTGGAGGATGTATCGGGCGCCGCGGCCTTCTCCGAGCGTTCCCGAACGCTCTGAGAGCGTTCCGGAACGCTCACGGACGCATCCTCGCCCTGGCCCCCGTCCGAGAAAAGGCTCCCTTTCGGGCCCCTTTACGGCCCCGAAGAGGGCTCCTTTTCTGCAGCCCTCGCTGCCCCCCCCCCCATATATCGCTCGCTCCCATGACGCGACGCCCAAGGCGGGACCCAGACCTCCGACGGGTTGTCTCTGCCGCGCCTGTCAAGGAAGCAGCTCATGGGAGGCCTTCGCAACAACGATTGAGGGCCATAGTAGGCTAGATGAAAGAGCCGCTGCGCCAGATCAAGCCGCATGAAGCCCGGGTTTAAGCCGGACTGTGCTTAGGTCGGGCGTGTCCCCTGACAGGGGGCTTTTGGACGAATTGCTTTCTTTCTTTAAGACAAGCAATAACCAAAAATAGTCAAAACACACCCCATAGCTATACTACTTGTTTGACGATTTGGGGAGATCACCCCTGTGCGTAGAGGGACGGGCCCGGCTCGAGACTGCGCGGGCCGGGGGTCTGGGGAAGAAGGAGGCCCCGGGAGCACGCGCGCTCGAGCGGCAGGCCCACCGGCCCGCCAAGGTCGCGAGGCCCCGGCGAGCGATGGCCGCCACTTTGGGCAGTGGTGTCGGGCCTGGCCCCGGGAGGCCTCGGGCCCCGGCAGAAACACACTAAACGAAAATACAGACGCAAAGCTAAAAAACTATATTATTTCACACATATATATACACATATGTATAAGATGTAAACATACAACTGCTGAAAACTCCAGAAGCACAGAAAGACAGATAAAAAACACAGAAGAATAGCAAAGACACGGAAGCACACACGTATGGCGCTCCGCACGGACTTCTTGGGTTCGCGCTGGACCCCCTTCGCTGGCGCGCGGAGCGCGCCAGGGGGACCAGGCGCGGGTCCAAGAACTCCGCGCGGAGCGCCAGCAGTTTATGTTCATGTGGATGTTTCCTTCTTCGGTTCAAAGGCCATAGGGAAGCCTCTGTCGCAACATGCTCGAGTCGCAAGGGGTCTGGCCCCCAGAGGTGCCCGGAGGCGGCCTTCAGAGCACGCGAAGATCTCAAACGCAACCAGAGGTCTACGGACGCCCCCGAGCCTCAGATCTCGAGCAGTCAACCTCGAGAGGAGCCGCGAACACCAGCAAAGGCCAGTGAGAAGGCGGGACGGCCTCGTGAGCGTTTTCTTATTCGGCGTGTCGGCATTGGGCGGACTGGGGGGGGGGAGGGCGGGGGTCTGGCTCCAGACCTCTGCTTAAGTGCGACTGTTTGGAACCGTGCGTCCTTCTGGGGAGACCCCACCTGCTCGAAACAGGCGCCAAAAGCAGCCGAGATCTACTCCACGGGGAGGGGAGGGGGGAGCGGGGGGGTTGCGAGGGCCCGCACCAATCGGTACAACAATAAACAAAAAATGATCACCTCTGCTCGGGATACCCGCAAGGAGACGCGAGGAAGGGATGCTTGCGCATCGGTGCGGACTCCCCACCCCTGCACTTTGCGCTATAGGTCGGGCAGGTCCTCCCACAGGCGGCTTCTTCGGAAGAGGCCTGGGAAGCACATGCCCTAGCATACTTCATGAATGATCAGAAAAGCGCTATCGCAAGTACTGCTGGAAGCCAGTCGACAAGAAACCTTCCACGAGAAACCCAACCCTGAGACCTCAGGACGTCCATTGAGTTTTGGTGTGGGAACGCCACGCTTCCCTCAGCAAAACCATCGAAACCCAAGAAACCCACGACACCCCGGAGGCAGGCAGGGTGGTTCTTGGCAGGGGCCTCCACTGTCTATGAAAAATGCTTACAAACAACTTTTGAACAGAGAAAACCCAGACCCCCGACGTCGTGATTATTTCACAACTTCGACCCCAGAGGTCTGGACCCCTTCTCCGAGTCGTTTTTGATGGTCCTGGGGCCTGGAGAGGGCCCCTGGAGGCCGAACGTATTGCAAAACCTCCCGTCGTGATTTTTCCACAGCGCGAGGGGCTCTGGGCTTGGAGCGGAGAAAACGCCCATCCTGCGTCCGACCGCGGCCCCGCGCAGGTCCCTGGCGTCTGCGCCCCGGAGCAGCGCCAGGCCCGCCGCCAGCGCGCACCGGAGCGCGGCGGCGCCGCTGGGCGCCCGCGCGGGAGAACTGCGCCGCCCCATGGCGGCGGCGCGGAGGGCGGCCGGCGATCGGTCGTCGCTTAACAGGGGGGGCGATGAGCGAGGGGGGGGACCCAGATCCCCTCGCGCTGTGGACACATCACGACGGGAGATTTTTCCATATCTTCGGCCTCCAGGGGCCCTCACCGGGCCCCGCCTGGGACCGTCAAGAAACGATTCAGGCTGAAAGACCAGTCCCAGGGAGGGGGTCCAGATCTCTGGGTGTCGACGCTGTGGAAGAATCACGACGTCGGGGGTCTGGGGAGAGGCGTTCCTTCCCCGGGCCCTCAAGGAAGACGAAGCCAGGACGAGGATCAAATCGGGCGAAGAGAGATCGAGAATCTCTGAGATCCGGCGGTGTTGGAGGATGTATCGGGCGCCGCGGCCTTCTCCGAGCGTTCCCGAACGCTCTGAGAGCGTTCCGGAACGCTCACGGACGCATCCTCGCCCTGGCCCCCGTCCGAGAAAAGGCTCCCTTTCGGGCCCCGTTACGGCCCCGAAGAGGGCTCCTTTTCTGCAGCCCTCGCTGCCGCCCCCCCCCCCCCCCCCCCCCATATATCGCTCCCCATGACGCGACGCCCAAGGCTGGACCCAGACCTCCGACGGGTTGTCTCTGCCGCGCCTGTCAAGGAAGCAGCTCATGGGAGGCCTGCGCAACAACGATTGAGGGCCATAGTAGGCTAGATGAAAGAGCCGCTGCGCCAGATCAAGCCGCATGAAGCCCGGGTTTAAGCCGGACTACGCGGGTTTATGCCGAATTTGGCCAACGACCGACCGCGGATAAAGCATCGCCGATGCTGCACGTAACTTCCTGGGAGTTCTATCCTAATGCCTGGGGAGGCTGATTGTGAAGTTGCTGCGCGAGGCGACCTCGGAAGACAAAGCGAAGGCGATCGCACCAGGGAAGCCCGGCCACATTTAAAGGAGTGGTCGACACTGCAGACGAAGTCAAGTCAGCAAAAAACATACTCCAGCTTGTCGGTGCGAAGCGGCAGACACTTACGAAAGCATAGCGCGCATTCTACAATCGGAGGTGGCAATGAAGGCAAAAGGAAAGCTAGGCAGGAGCGGAATGGAACGGGACTCCAGGATAGCGGGGCTCCAGGATATAGAACTCGTGTACAACAGGGCGTCACCAGCGAAAGCGATGCGGCAAAACTGACAAGACGTCGTGTGACCCAGAAACGAGACAGAGGTGCAGCAGGCAGTCATGGAGGTCCGAAGGGCAGATGCCATGACAACGTGGAGACCTTTCGCAGCCATCGTCCGATTCGCCATCGAAGGTCTGTTCAAATCAAGTTCGCTGGTCGGGGCTCAGTGCCGCATCCGAGCTGCAAAGGTCGGACGAGGACACGGAGAGACCAGCCCGTTCAAAAACTGAGTGTCTTCCTCTGCAACGAGCGAGTGCCACACGGGGGATCACTAGGGATCCGAAACGCGGCTTGAAGGTTACTATCAAGACTCGCGTGCACAGAATTCTTAGACCACGGGTGCCGGTGATACAAGATTGCACAGTTGTCGACTCCATCAGAAGGCCTCCAGGAGGAGGAGGCGACGGAGACGAAGGAGGCGGAGGAGGTGGCGGAGGAGGAGGAGGCGGAGGCGGAGGCGGAGGAGGACCAGTGTAAAACTAAGACTCATCAACGATGTTGGAATACACCTCCCCTTCAAACTCCCTCTTCAGAGGCTCCTACACCGGCTCAATTCCACAGAGGGAACTGCCTCGTTGGAAGACAGCCGTTTGAAGACCCTTAAACATGCCAGAACATTGTCTCGGGTTTCCAGCGCCACGGATCAACCAGACTGTTGCGTCTTGACGATCCTGGATCGTGCTAGGACGCCATTCCTGGGACTTCAACGCCGCGAATCATCGTAACTGTTGCACCCTCATTATCCACAATCCTTCCCACACACTCTTTCTGCTGCGCTGATCATGGGAATCCGTGAGAAGATTGCAATTTCCAATAACGAATGTGCGCCACGCTAACGCGACAACCGCATTTTGAAAAAGAGCCACCCTCAATCCGTGAAGCTCCTTGTTCCCAACCATCCTGTGGTGTTGGGTCCTCGTTTTGTAGAGACAACGCCCCGCGTTGCTTCCTCTCCTCTGCTTCTCCTCCTCCTCCCCCTCCTCCCTCCTCCCATGATCATCATCCCATGGTCACATCGTCATCATCGTCATCATCACCAGCATCGCCATCATCATCGCCGTTATGGTCACGAGCATCGACACCCAGTTCGGCACACCCTCACACGCTTCGTGGCCCCATAGGGAGCTCCACCGAAGGCCCCGATGCCACCGTCCACGTGCGTTCCTCACACCTATTTCGGCACACTCCTTGCACGCTTCGTGGGCCCATACGGTGGGCGCATTGGATAAGGAACCCTTAGATAAGGAATCTAGGACCTAAAGGCCAGTGGAACTCCAATCGGAGCTTGGCCATGGATATCGCCACGGCCTTCATCAGATAAGAAATCCTCCAGGGTCTGCAGCATTCTCGGCGCATTCCTTAACCAACGCCCTCACCGTATGGATTTCCACCGCAGGCCCCACTGCCACCGTCCACATGCGTCTCCCGCACCTATTTCGGAACACCCATCACACGTTTCGTGGCCCAATACGAATTTCACCGGATGCCCCAATGCCACCGTCCATATGCGTCCCCCACACCCATGCCGGCACATTCCACACACGTTTCGTGGCCCCATATGGAACTCCACCGAAGACCCCAGTGCCACCGTCCACATGCGTCCCCCGCACCCATGTCGGCACACCCCTCACACGCTTCGTGGCCCCATAGGGATCTCCACCGAAGGCCCCAATGCCACCGTCCACATGCGTCCCTCGTACAAATTTCGGAACACCCCTCACACGTTTCGTGGCCCCATAGGGAGCTCAACCGAAAGTCCCAATGCCACCGTCCACATGCGTCCGCCGCACCCATTTCGGCACATCCCTTACACATGTCGTGGCCCATAGGGAGCTCCACCGAAGGCCCAAGTGCCACCGTCCACACGCGTACGCCACACTCATCTCGACACGCCCATCAAGCGCTTCGTGGCCCCATACGGAGCTCCACCGAAAGCCCCAGTGCCACTGTCCACATGCGTCCCCAGCACCAATTTCGGCACACCCATCGCACGTTTCGTGGCCCCAGATGGATCTGCAACGCAGGTCCAATTGCCCCGACCGCATGCGTCGCCCACACCCATTTCGGCACACCCATCACGCGTTTCGTGGCCCCATATGGGTCTGCACCGAAGGCCCCAGTGCCACCGTCCACATGCGTCCTCCGCACCAAATCTAGCAATTCCATTACACGTCTCGTGGCCCCATTGGGAGCCCCACCGCATGCCCCAGTGCCACCGTCCAATTACGTCCACCATACCCATCCCGAAACACCCCTCACACGTTTCGTGACCCATAAGGAGTTCCACCGAAGGGCCCAGTGCCACCGCCCGCATGCGTCCCCCACACTCATTTCGGCACCCCCTCACACGCTTCGTGGCCTCATAGGGAGCTCCACCGAAGGCCCAAGTGCCACCGTCCACATGCGTCCCCCACACCCATGTCGGGTTCGTGGTCCGTCACCGACGAAGACATTCACAACTGGGGTCCGCACAACTGTATATGGTTGGGACCTTCGCCAGGCTAATTGAAACGAGTGTGCGTGGCGCTTGAGCGAGAACCGCATTTTGAAAACGGGCCGTCCTCAATACGCGAAGCTCGTGCACATGTGTGAAGCTCGTGCACATTTGTGAAACTCGTGCATGGCCGACCTCGGCCTCAGCGGCGACATCGAAGGCTGGCAGGGCGTGCCGTGGGCCCCCGGCGGCTGGCGGCCAGGCGACCGCTCCCTGCAGGACACCCGCGCGGCCTTGCTGGACGCTTGGGCACGGCGCGAAGCTCGCGCCGTGGCTCGGCGGCGCGCCGACCTCGGGCACGTCGCGGACGGGTTCGACCGCTGTGCCACCCGACGCCTGCTGGAATGCGAGGAACTCGCGCCGGACGCGGCGGGCGCCCTGCGCGAGGTCCGCGCACGGGCAACGTCGTCACCGAGACGGTGGCCCCGAAGTGGTGCCGCCCCTCGCGCTGCCCGCATTGCGGCGCCGCGGACGAGACGCGCGAGCACCGATCTGGACGTGTCCCAAGAGGCACGAGGTCCGCCACGCCGAGTTGCGGGCAGGCGGCTTAAGCGAGGCCGCCCTGCTGGCGCGCCTGCCCCTGGGGGTCGAGCTGTCTGGAATGCTACCCACGGACGCTCGCCTGGCCGCGCTCGCCGCGCTGGGCCAGCAGCAACTGCGACCGCCCCCGCATGCCGCCCCCGGCCGTGGCCCCCGGGCAGGCCCGAGTGCGGGCTTGGAGCGACGGCGCTTGTGAGCACCCCACTGATCCGTTGCTGGCCCGGGCTGGCCGGGGAGTGCGCTTGCAGGGGCCCAGCGGCGTGTCGCGGCGCTGCAGCGGGTCTGTCGGGCGGGCCCAGACCGCGCAGCGCGCAGAGCTCAGCGCGGCTGTGCACGCCGTCAGCGAAGCTGGGGCCCCCTTGGAGCTGGTCTCCGACTCTAAATACGTGTGCCACGGGATCGCGGCGGTGCATGGCGGCGCGCGCCCCCGCGAGTGGACGCACCCGGACCTATGGGAGTTGCCCAGGGGGCCCTGACACCCGCCGCTGCGTTTTTCGGCGTTGTTTTGCAATTGTCCCTCCCTCCCTCCCTCCCTCCCTCCCTCCGCCTCCTCGTCCACCTCCTCATCCTCCTCCTCCTCCTCCTCCTCCTCCTCCTCCTCCTCCTCAGCCTCCTCCTCCTCCTCCTCCTCGCCCGCTGCCCCCGCAGCCACTGCGGCCCAAGCTGGCGGCGCAAGGGTATTTTAGTGACGCCTCCCGAGAAATGAAAACTGATAGCTGCAGCAGTCGCTCTGCTGTCAGACTGCTTCGAAGCAAATGGGCGCGCGCCCCATGGGACACGAGTGCATTCAACGAGACTGGCGGCCTCCTCTCCCTGTC